AAAAGCCTAAATTTTGTTTGTGCAATATAATTATCAATCAATTTTGTAGTTCTAAATTAAAGACTTTTGTTTGAAATAGAGTAATTTTTACAATTTCTTCACTTTTAAAGCACAAATTTGTTTACCTCATGAACAACTTGAAACGCAAAAGCTGAACACGAACGTTGGAGATAAACAAAGCATAAAAAAAGTGGACGGTTTGACCTCGGCACGTTTTTTTCTTTGTACTTTTTGTACCAAGAGATCTCTGCAACGTTATTGGTATAGTTAAAAGCTACTCGCTTTTCGCGTGATTTTGGTTTATTGAACCCTGGTGCTTTTATTCGATCCCCGAGAGCCACAGATGCGCTCTCCCGCATGGATTTTGCAAAACTGGTCTTTTGTGTATGTTAATAACGATCATTACTACAACAGAGGCTGAACGCGTTCCGCGAATTCGTTTCGAGTCGTTCAAAAATTACGCAACTCGCATACTGAAAATAAAAAATGCTCCATTTGGCGGTGAATGAATATAAAATGCAAAAAAAGTCTGCAATTGGTCTGCAGGGCAAAGTTGCGCTGCGCATTTTAAACGCAGGAATTCGGCGAGAGAGACAAAATCAGCAGGATGCACTTCTGCTCACAAGTGACTCACGTAGTTTTTTCTCGAGACGAATTCTTTCACTCGAAAACAAAATTAAATCAAGGCCCTGCAAGACTGAAAAAAAAATAATACTTTTTAAATAACTGTCTGACAATGCAGTGAATGACATAAAGTCTTGTGTCTGTGACCTGCACCAATGGGAAAATTAAATTTTTAATGAATATTAATTATTTAGATTATTGCAGATTTATTGAATAGAACTTTAATGGGAACCCCTTATCAGATAAAAAGTTATTACAAAATATTTTTTGTTGTTCGTCCAGAAACATCCGTCAGAAATTATTTACTGGAAGAGCATCAAAAGCATTATTCATTTTAGAAATAAATTTATCAGATATTCATTTATCAGAACGAAAAGAAAGTGAATTTTAAGTATGTAAAGATTCAAGTATTAAGTGGAATTGCATCTTATAGTATATTGATTGTTTTACCACATCTAAAATTGTTAAGTTTGTACATCAGTACAAATTACTTGTTTTTATTATGATATACAAATGCATTTTTTTTTTCATTGATTTGATTAAACTTTTGAAACGTTTGAAAATAGTGAAAAAATAAAATAAAAATTTAATATATTTATAAATATTTAACAGAAATCTTTAGCTAATTGCGTGGTAAAAATAAACGATAATTTTAATAAATTTGTAAGGAAAATAATGTTCATATTTTAGTTAGCTTAGTTTTATAATAATTATAATTTCTACAGAAAATTTCCGACTTAACCATCCAGTTTTCTCATAGTTCTTCAAATTGCACGCTCTGGTGGTTTCTTCGTTACTTCGGCGGTGGCACATTTTTCGTCTTTGACCTGTCGTCCGAATCGCGGCGGCAAATTAAGTCTGCTTTGACGAGTCATCCGTGCTGACACAAATAATATCCAGCTCTCGGCGGGTCTCTCAATTTCTCAAGTGGGGACTCGAACCCAGATCAGGTTTGGAGCGCGGCGGGCGTAAATCACAAACGCCGGGCGAGTCGTGCCAACTCATTCCTGGCAAACTCACGCGCGAAATGACAAACGACCGCGGCGTTGGTGTATTTTTTTAAGTGCATGATTTTATTATTATATCATTAGAAAAAGCACAAAGAATTGTGGTGCGCGGTAAATCAAAGAAGGCAAAGCCAGGAACAGGAAGGATGCCGGATCGTGACCGGGTCGGCTGCTTTTTCCCAAAGGCTGCTGCCGATCATGACAAACCGACATTGCTGCGAGGTAACGTTTTATCCACCTAGGTAAACTTTTAACTTATTACTAATGCTAATTATTCAAGGCCAGCATTTGTCGCGTATTTTTTGGCAAAATTTTATCATACTTGCGTGGGATGGGTCGGTTCAAATCTCTTCCCGGAATTGTATAAGTTCGTGAGAATTGCAAATTTATCTCATTTGCATTAGTTTCGGCCCTTCCTATTTCCTCTCATGTTAATTTTAAGTTTATCTCTTCACGCTCCTCTGCGTGAAAAATGTGCAATTAGCTAAAAGTTGGCGGAAAAATTAAGATTTATGACTGCGGTCTGTGAACAAAAAGGATTTGTTTAAACAATTCAGACCTTAAACTAAGGAAAGGGAAACGCATCTGAATATTTGACTCTCTTTGGTCTAGAAAGAGAGGCGGATTAATTTTCACAGACAAATACAATTTTTAATTTAAAGAATGAAGTTTTATAATTAGGAAAAGTAAATAGTCAATTAACAGAAATTAAAAATAAATTTATTTTAATAAAAACTATTTTCCTCATTATTTGGAATTATTTATATTTTCTGTATATCGAAGCACTTCAATTTAAATTTTTTGCACAAACAATTTATTGTTTCTTTTTTTTTTAATTTTTTTAATGCCAATTTGTCATTGAATTAAGTTTTCCTGTAACTATTCACTTTCTTTCTCTTGATCTAATTCAATCAATCCTCAATATATTTTTTAAATTCCTAAAGCGGAAATATCAATTATTATTTATCTTTGTTCAGATTGTATTATATAGAAAGTTTGTACATGGGGAAATGAAATTTATTTCAGTCTCCCACATTTTGTTAATGTGCGGGCTCTGTTGTGATAACGCACTTTGCTCTATTCCGTTTTATTATTTTAAATGAAATTCCGAGGATGGAAAATAATACATTATACATAACGCATTTTTATTTCAAAACTCGCGCGAGTGACATAATGTAAAAGAAAGTGTTTTGTCCACTGGGAGACAATACTTTTGTTGGCACTCAAAATAACTCACATGCATTTTGCATAATGCTCGTTGCGTTTTGATGCAGGAAAGAAAGAATGAGTTTCTCTTTGGAAAGTGAAGCGCGACAAATTATTCTTTGCCGCGGTCAGAAATATAAAAATTGCATCTGTTTTGAAGAAACAATGCAATTTTTTAATTTTCAGAACTGTACAGGAAGTTATACGAGGCGAAGTGAAAAAAAAATTGCATTTCACCGAGGTCCGTTTGCGTCCGTCTGCCGTTTCTTTCTCTCACTAAATAAGGTGCGCGTCCGTTAGAATGAAAAGCACTCATTCACTCGCGACGGCCCACGGTTTTGTGCAAAGTGTGTGCGAGCAAATTTATTTTTCGCGTGCAAAACGAACGAGACGATCAGACAAGTGAATAATTGTGTCACGCGATCAGGATCTGCAGCTTTTGCCAGGCCACACCAATATTAAGAGACCAGTTTCTATAAATTGCACGCTGGCCAATATTCGGACCACTTGGAGCGGATCAAATGATCCTCCGCTATTATTATTGCGAGGGCACACAATCCACTTTGCAAATTTTATGCTTCTCTGTACTTCTTGAAAGTGCGCGTAAAAAGCGTTTTAAGTCACCATATCTCGTCCTAACTGGTTTGTCCGCCAATTTGATCCTTTTAACAGATATATAATGAGTCTGGTTGGTCCAACTTAATTTTTTTTCCTTTGAGATCACAGGCTTATCATGTTTCATTTTAAATCATAGGAATAAATCCCTCAATATCGAAAAGTTTAAAATTAATTTAGAGTCGAATTGAATTGTAACGGAATAAAACAAATATTTTCAAGTGGATAAATGTAACAAAAGCACCACAATTAATTTTCTTTTCAATTTATCAGGTTTGTTAAGTAGTTCTAAATATATTAATATAATCATTGTTCACCTCTTTAAAATAAAATTTCCTACGCGGTGGCAGTTTTTAAACTTTCTGTGAGTAATCCGCGCGGTTTCCTGGAAAAAATTATGAAGTAAAAAATGGATCCAATTTTAATAATGTGACTCTCTAAACATTAATAAAATTGGATCCATTTTCATAAGTTTTCCTAAGGCAATTGAAAGAGATCACGCGGATTACTCGCAGAAAGTTTAAAATCATTGATATCACCATTTACAATGAGATAATTCATTATTCCAATGATGTAAGAAGGGTTTACACTGCAATTTATAATACATGGTTCAGTATTGATACATACATAACAAAGACACCTACGGAACAAATTAACATTTCTACAATCTTATACATAGCTGATTAAGATGGTGGTTGTTGCATTAATATTATTTTCACATGATACTGACTAAGTTGTTAATACCCTCTAAATGGTTAAGAAATAACAACAATTAAAATAATTATTTTACTATTTATAAGCTATAATGTCTTTATTGCATAAATAACTTAAATAAACTAAATTTTAAATATTAAACTTTATTAAAAAAATATTTACATTAAAGCTAAAAGATTATTAAAGATTTGGTATTAAAATTGTTTTGTTAAAGTAACACAAGCCCTTTCCCTTGAAGTTGTGCTTATTACAGCTTAACTTAGACTATTTTTATTGTAACTGGTAAAAATATGTTGTATTTCATCTTTATAAATTATCGATTTACATCTTTTAAAAACACATGTACATAATTACTATGCATTAAATGAAGTACTAAGGTGCACTTACCAATGCTAATTTAATATTGTATTATAATTATTATAATTCATGAATGTTACGGTTTACGCTTGCTCTCTATCATAAAAAATGAGAGTCACAACGGATATTGAGAAAAAACTTGTAATATTGATTGTTCTCTTTTCTAAATAGATGATTAGATTAAATTAAAACGAGTGGTATTACAGTTGTTATCACACAGATCAACCCACTCGTTTGCAAAAATGCTACAAGAACCAAAGAAATTATAGACATTTTACCAATTTTCCATACACTCTTGATCACGTTTTCTCTAAATAAAACTTGTGAAAAAAATATATATAGTTGAATTGACCCGAGAATAACACAAATCTTTAAAATCTATTTTCGTTAACATAAAATAATTAAGTCGCTCAACATAAAAAATATCAATACAGGCAAAAAATGCAAGTAAATTAAAATTTAAATTGCTTGTTTCAGGAGTGGACAGCGGCGGGCAATGAGCGGGCAGCAGACGATGTGTTGGACGGTGGCCGCGGTGTTGGCCTTTTGTTCGGTGGCGGCCAGCGCGTCGTGGACGTTCCCATCGCCTGAGGCGGCGAACGCGGCCGCCGACGCGGCCATCGCCGCGGTCGCCTTCCCGAACCGGCAGGTGATGATGGCCCGCGGCGCCTCGGCCGCCTTCCAACCGCCGCCGCACTTCCAACCCGTCCGCTACAACAACTCGGGCCTGCGCCTCGAGCCGCCTCGGTGGAGACGCTACGTCCGCTTTCCGGGCAACCGCGGCTTCCACCAGCGGCCCCAGCCGTGGGGCGCCACGGCCCCGGCCGCGCCCCCCGTCATCCCCGCCGGGCCCAGGAGCCCGAGGCTGGTGTTCAGGGACCCTGACTACATTTCCAACAACAACTTCCCCACTGGACCGGGCGTTCCGCAGCAACAACCGCAGTTCCCTTTGCAGGACTACTCGCAGGACGACTCCAGAGGTGGGAGCAAAAGTTTTACTTAAACAAAGTTTTCATCTTGATTTTTGGGACATGCAAATAAGCAAAATGGTTGCAAAAATTATTTCCATTTTGAAAAAATTATAAATTGCTCATGCAGTTTCTAGAATTTTCAATTGTATCAATTATAATGTTTATCAAGATGGGTAGAAATGTGGTTAAAAATTCAGGGAAATCACAATTTTTTTAAGCCCGAAATTCATTTTAATTTATTATTTATTTCAATTGCACGAATCTTTGAAAATAGTTAATTTTCATCTTAAAAAATACAAAAATAGAATTTTTAATTGTGGCATAGAACATAATTCTAACAAATAATTTTCCCATCCCTGATTTTGCCGGATTTCGGTATTTTCAAATAAAACATGTATCAGAAAACGATATATTGTAGCAGGGAAAATGATTAAAATAAGCTAATTTTAAATAAACTCTGTGATTTAAACCTTAAAATTTACTTCCGCCTTAATATAAATGTTTAATGATAAAAACATCTATTTTACACATTTTGAATGTAATATTTTTACCAAAATTGCAATTTAATGTTATGTTTTTGCAACCTAGCTTTGATTGCACTATTTATTATATATTTCATCTCCAGTTCGGCAGAAAATTTGCAAAATTTTCAGGTTTTTGGACTTGGATGTAAAACGCGATACTCCATCACCCCTGCGAAATTTTTTTTTTTTTAATACCCTGTTTTGATCGAGTTGATGCTTTTTTCGGATTTGGTGTGAGGCAGGGGTGTGGAGCTGGGTGTTGACCTGGCCGCCTGTTTCAGAAGCGAGCAGGGTGAAGCAGCAGCAGCAACAGCAGCAGTTCAATGTAGGTGGCGACCAGAGCCTGTGCTTCGCCGGCAAGTGCGAGTTTTTCCTCTTGTGCTGGATGTCCGGCGGGTTGATCGAGGGCAGCTGCGGCGGATTCATGTTTGCGTGTTGCCAACGCAAACAAAAGTCGGACGACTCGCTGGCCATTAACGATCATGGCAGCAACTCGATCGCCCAACAGCCAGACTTGGAAGACAAAGACTTAGATGACTACGTCAATGGTCCGGTGACTAACGACCCCAGTAAGTAGGACTGAAAATACACAAAACGCACGCAAAAAAATATCAAATTGACAAAAAAATAATTTCCTTCTACTGCTGGGTCGAAAGTCAAAATCCACGAATTTAAAAAAAAAATTATATATTATTCAGTCAAACAAATTTTTTATTTTAATTTATAGATTTTTGCTTTTGGATTTTATACAAAATTTGGGTGCTTTTAGCTGAAAATAAGAAAATCTTAGTAAATTTCAAAGCTTATATATTGTAGCTTTTTTAATGTACCTCTCTGCTCTAAAAATGAATTTGAAAGTAGAAACCATTTTTGATGACTGAAATCTTAATTTAGCGATTCATGAATTAATTAATTAATCTTTTCTTGCCAAAAAGATTTAAACCATCAAGGGGAAAGAAGATTAGAATTTAAAAATTTCTTACTTATTTGATCGAATTTAGTGATTTAGAAACCAAGAAAGACTCTTAAAGTTTAAATTTATCCCCTTTAGAGTGATAAAATTTGAACTCCATGAGAGTAAAAGTCGACTTCAGTCATTAAATTTTGAGTTAATTTCAAATTCAAGAATAACAATAATCAACGTAGAGGGCCTTTAGAGCTGAACAATATTTTTGTAGTTTTTCGTCCCAGCAATTATTCTGACCGTAGTTCCTTCCATCAGTAGAATCACATTTAGTATATCATACACTTAACCCCTTTTAAACTGACTGACAGTGCAAGTGAAATAAAATAATTCTCGCTGTGGGAAACTTCCACGTTAATAAAAAATGGAAAAAAAGTGAGCATCGCATACATTAATAATTGCTAACGACCATGAGACACATTGTCACCAACTGCTGACTGCACGAGCACTATGGAAAAAGAAAGACTTTCTAACTGACAATGAGTCAGAATCGCACAGATGAAAATCACAATTAACTACGCTTTTAAACTCATGCAATAAAATTACGAATCTATTAAATTTGAAAAAAAAAACATTTAAAAATAATTTTCAAGTTTCCACGGACATTTAATTTTGAAACAAATTTCACAAGTGCACTATCATGTAAATTGAGACTTTTCTATAATTAACTTGTTTAATTGTCTTTTTGTTATTGTAAAATTAATAAATTAATTTTTGTAATTTTGTGGAAAATGCACGCACCAACGCACTTCTCGCACCTCACTTCTATCATTAGAAATTTGAACACCTTGTGTATAAATTTTTTCGTCGGCGCACACAACTACTTTCATTTCACGCACACAAATACACTCGCACACATAATACACTTTCTCGCTCCACCGCACCCTGAGACGCAAGCAACCGGCACGACAGGGAAGCCACACTCGTTGCCTACAATGTCTTTGCAGAAGTTCATTCTTCTTTTCATTCACGTAATAATGAATGAATTAATTTAATTAGACTTTAATTAGAATTCCGGTGGATGCAATTAATTTAATTCTTTCACGTAACATCGCGTTCCGATCTGGTGAACGCGAAACAAATGAATTAATTTACTTGCAAAAAATACATTTCCTTACTTTGAACGCAAAAATAAAAACGCGCACTAACAAACAAAGACGTTGACATCCTTACTTTTGTGTGTCTTGACTGAATTACAATAATGGCAATTGTCTTCTAAGACTGGCTGGTATGGGTGTTCTCTTTTTGTGCTCATTTTTGTAAAAGTTCTTTTTCTGTTTATCTCGCCGGAGCAAACTTGATTGTTTCATCAACTTTGCTCCGCACAGATTCATGAAAGCCTATTTTTCTGTATTAATTGTTTCGTTTTTACTAATAATCTGTGTACATTTTAGATTTCAGCCGCCAATTCCGGAATGCTGATCTAACATTAAACATAATTTAATTAAAACCGCTTCACCTTTGCTCGCAAGGTTCTTTTGCGAGGGTGACGTCAAATTTCGTGATCGGTGTTGCAGGGTGCGGAGTTTCCTTGGGCGAGGGTAACTTGGGAGCGCAGAGAAGAATCGTCGGCGGAGATGAGGCCGGCTTTGGCAGTTTTCCCTGGCAGGTCCGAAAGTTTTTTTTTTAAATAATTTTTAATTTAATTTTATAATTTAAACAATAAAAAAATTATAATATATAAATTAAATCAAAAAATTGATTTTCTTTAAAAAAAAAAATTAATAGAGAATTTTGTGTTGCAGGCGTATATCAGAATTGGATCCAGCCGTTGCGGAGGATCTCTAGTCAATAGATACCACGTGGTCACTGCTGGGCACTGCGTGGCCAGGTAATTTTTTTTTTTTTCAAATCAATCAACTTTGAAATTAATTACTTCAAATTTGTTCAGGGCAACCTCGCGTCAGGTTCAAGTGACCCTGGGTGACTACATCATCAATTCCCAAGTGGAACCACTGCCGGCGTTCACTTATGGGGTGCGCGAAATCAAGGTGCACCCTTACTTCAAGTTCACGCCCCAGGCTGACCGCTTTGACGTGGCAGTGCTCAAGCTGGACAGGGCCGTCCATTACATGCCTCACATTGCGCCAATTTGCTTGCCTGAGAAGAACGAGGACTTCCTCGGCCAGTTTGGATGGGCCGCTGGATGGGGCGCCTTGCAAGCAGGTAACAAAATTAATTAAACCGACTTTTTTTAAATTTCCTCTAATTATTAGCCATTTTTAAAGAGCAGATCTTATATCTTATTATAACCAGATTTTTACTTAAAAATTAGAATTTTAATTAATACAAAAATTACTTCACACTCAGTCTACTTTTTTTAATGTTGTATAAATTCTGTTGAAAAAATCAAAAATAATAAAAATAGGTCATTACAAAACAAAGAATTAATTTATATATTTATACCTCTTATGGACAATTTTTTTGTAATTTTTCCATTAAATTATAAAATTTATTCCTAAATTTGTTATTCTACAAACAACCAACAACTAGATTAAAAAGTTTAAATAAGGACTTGGATGATGATGAGCTTTTAACGGTTGTAAATTAATAAAGATAAAAAGAACTTTCATTTTCCTCATATACATTTTTCTAATTTCCCATCCCAGTCGTAAAAACGATAATCTAAAAAGCCTCGTTTTGATAACTAATGCAGTTTGCGTGGGAACCGCCATTGTCAAATGTGAGATTGAAAGTTTAATTACTATATTTTTCTTGTGATTCGACAATAAACCTTCTGCGCACTTCAATAAACATGCATCGCTTTCACGCACTTTTCTAATGAAGAGAATATAAATTACTTTGGTAACTTTCTCTCTCGTCGCTTTGCGCCGCGTTCGCGCGGCAGACCAGAAAATGTAATTCCGGCGACCACTCGTAAATCAAAGGAGCATCCTTAATTATACCAGTGGCGCCCGGTTCGGAATTAAAAAAAAAAGAAGCTACAGGCCTTTCCTCAAGATTCTCATTAATCGATCGCCTCACAATCAGAAATCGAATCAACAAATACTAATAAAAAATAGAAAGATGAAATTCTTTTTCTGTTGAATTATGGTGCTTTCTAATTAAACTGCTCTCTCTATTAATTACAAAAGAAGTGATGAAATACGACGAATATGTTTTCATTCAACACTGGCTGTACTTTTCAGGTTCGAGGCTGAGGCCAAAGACCCTGCAGGCCGTTGATGTGCCAGTAATTGACAACAGACTCTGCGAACGGTGGCACAAAGCCAATGGCATCAATGTAGTCATCTACGATGAAATGATGTGCGCCGGCTATCGCGGAGGCGGCAAGGATTCCTGTCAGGTACATAATTATTTTTGTTTAGTTAAAATTTTAATAGACCATTTTGTTTCGAAGCGGCATTATTACTATAAAAAAAAAGAAAAATCCATTTTGCCTTTTAATGAAAAGTCAGGTCTGAAGTCTGAACGTCAAAGATCCACGTTTTTCGACCTTCAAACTTTGTTCCAGTCAGAATATTTTGATTAACTCGCTGTTTTAAATTCCCATTATTAAGAAGGCAATGGTTTTAAAAATGTACAAATGTTTTGAAAGCAAATATAATTTTTTCAGAACTTCATATGCATTTCTGAAACATTTGAGTTTCTAAATAAGATTTAAAGTTATCAAAAAAACTCAAATCAAATTTTAGATTCCCACAGCAACGTGATGTGAGAAAAATAAATTGTTTTCATTTATATTTTTATTACACTACATTAATTTTAAATAAATAAATACTCATAGCATTTATTAAATGTAAAAATAAATAATATTTATCTTAATATTTCTTTTTTAGCAATGATTTTATCATTTTTATTTGTTTTATGAATTAAATTTTTTTTAATTTAATAAACCATTTTTTATAGATTAACTGTTTAATTATTTCAATAAGAACATCACGTAATAAATATTTTTTACTACTTAAATTTTAATTAAGAAACCTTGCCAGAAGATATTAATAATATAATATTGTAATTTATCGATTTATATATTGTGCTAAACTATCGTCAGCCTATAATCTTAAATTATGACATTATTAATTAAATCAAAAGCAAACTAAACTTGGTACATCTTCATCCATATTTATGCAATTTTAATTGGTATTAAAAAATTTTCAGGGTGATTCCGGTGGTCCCCTGATGATGGAAAAGAGCAACAGGTGGTACCTAATTGGTATTGTGTCGGCCGGGTACTCGTGTGCCCAGAGAGGTCAACCTGGCATTTACCACCGAGTGGCGCAAACCGTCGACTGGATATCGCACGTGATCAACAAGTAAATCTCCCTGAAAGGACTGAAACTTTTTTTAGAGAAGAGAAGCATTTTTAAGCACTCTGTAGAACAAATGAAGTGACCTGTGGAGTGTGTGATACAGTTGCGCTCCGACACCAATCCAGAGATTTCTGCCCAGAGGACATTCAAATTTACTGGGTTGATAATCTGGGATTTGGTACGGACGCAATTAATGGACCTCAAATTATTGCCGTACGTGTCATTGCTTCGGCCACCCTTCTAATTCCCTATAGAGCCGTGGCGAGAAGTTTTAATTGTTGTGGCGACTTTCCACCTTTTCACAATCTGCAGTGCTGAGAATAATTTTTATTCTATTTATATACTTGCGAAATACAAAGTGGGTAATATTTAATTTTTTGAGAGACGACGTCCAATATTTATGCCACACGTGAACGGTCGTAAATTGTTAAAAAAATTTACTAATTGTGCATTTCATTGAAAAAATAATGTGTGTATGTACCCGCCAGAAAGGAATGTGGGATTAAACTGTAAGCTTTGTAAATTTTAAATGGAGTAATAAACCCTTTTTTACAAAATAGAATTTAAATTTCGTTATTCCTATACTTGAGATATAATTCCATTGCCTATCCGATTGCTGTGAAAGTCATATTGTGTACAATAAATTTTTTAAGTTAATATTGTAGAAAGAGTAAATAAATGGATTTTGAACGCTGCACTTCTTTAAGGTGCAATTTAAAGATTAAAAATTGTCGGGAAATAATTGTTCCCTGATGCTAAGATTAATTATTTAATTCATAATCATTTTGGTTGGGGTAAATAGAATTAATAGACACAATTTTTACTTACTTTCAAAGGTTTGATGTAATTATTTGGCCTTATTCTTTGCACATATTACAAAACGCAACTGTGTCACTTGGCTACTCATAAACGACTCTTCCATCCATGTTGCTGCTCTGTCACCTGATGCCCTGTCTGTCTCTCAGCTGCGGCCACGAATGGTGCAGCAAGCACCATCAGTGGTCGCGCGAGGAAGTGCCGAGTTTACCCCGACACCTCCCCGGCTGAGAGGAGACAAGATCATCGGTGACATGAGGACAACAATTTAATTTTTCAAAGATACACATTTTCAATAGAACACAATTTAAATTGAAAGATACATTTTCAATTGAGCAAAACTTAAAAGTAAAGATACATTTTTCAATTGAGCACTGGAGGGTATTTGTGTCGAATTAATTTGAGAAGTTAATTTTTTGTTGTACAAGTTAATTGGTTTATGAAATTAAAATTTTAATTGTCGAATTCTTGGGGTGCGTTGCGCAAGAAATAGGAGTTGTTTCTCAGCAGTTTTCTCTACTTCCGCTGCTACCCAGGGCAGGCATTGCTTAAATGGGGTGGACGAGGCCCCATAGCAAACTGGCTTTTCCCCCCCGGGACAACAGAAGCAGATATACCTACGAGTTGGAGATGCATTTTTTTTTTTTTTTTGTAGTGGAGGGATGAAATGTGGTTTTGAGAACCAAAATTGAGAAGGACTGAACTCCAATTTTTTGCGCAAAGCAATGATTTGAGCGAGTTGAAAATAAATTTGTTTCATGCATTTGTTTGAGTTGTGTTACATTTTAATTTTTGATTTGCCGAAAGTACAGTTTGTTCGTGAATTTTGATTGATGGTTTTGTGTTTTATTTGTGTATTGTGTGATTGGTTTAAACTTAAAATATAATGTGTCTAAATCTAAAAAAAAGGGATTTAAAGTGCTCATAACCCTCAGACATTAAGACGTTTAATTTAGGGGGAGCTCAGAGGGAGCCGTGGGCGCATAAGGCGCTATTGAGGCTGAAAGTTAGATTTTTTTTTATTAAATTGCACGCCAGTGCGGTATTGCGTGCGGACGTCTCTGTCGAAGGGTCACAGTCATACAACGTCAGTGGCAATTGGCAAAATTCTGTAATGAAAATTCGATTAGCAACAACGTAATTTTTTCTTGCGGAAATTTTGGATAAGGAAGAAAGATTATTTTTAAACCTAAATGTTCTACTCCCGGGACTATAATGGTAACTGCGGAGAACATCAGTTAAAAGTTTGTTATTGTTGTTTGTTTTTTTCTAAATCATTTGATTGCATGGAGTTTTTGTTTTTTGTGTTCCTTTCATTTTTTGGTACTAGGATTGATTTTGTTACTGATTTTTATTATTGAAAATTGACTGATTAATTCTCAGGCAGCAATAAAATTCCCACTATTCTAATTGGAAATAAATTCAGGATTTATTTTCTTCTTGCATTCTCGTGAGGAGAAGGTGGTGGTCGATCAGTGGCACAAAACGGCCACGGCAAGCGCGCATCGGAGGCGCTGAAAGCTTGAGTGGAGCGATAATCATTTTTCAGTTTGTCATTCATTAAGATCGCGGTTGTTGTTTGTTGTGAAATTGGAAGTGCACTTGTCTCAAGTATGCGTGGAGATGGCTTATCGGTGGCCGGGAACGCGTAAGAGTCATTTTTATTGCGGAGGTCAATGAGATGTGCACTTGGAGTCAAAATTTTGGGGGTTTTGTTGGCGGAGGGGGGAGGCCTATCGGTCGCCTCAAAGAAGCGCGGTATTGTGCGCTGCGGAGTTTCATTTGTGAGAGGATCATTCAGGTGGTCAAATTTTGGGATGGAAGTTTGGGAAATGTTGATAGGAGGTGAAACACAATTTAGGGCTGTATTGGCTGGAGATACATGGCAATGTTCAGCTGCCAGGGGTCCAGATTGATGCCCAAAAATTGATCGGTTGATTTTTGGTGATTTAGGGTATTGGTATTGGGTGGTTGCGTTCGAACGGTTAACCGTACGGCGAGGAGTTTGTGACGGAGATACCAGACATTTTTGGCCAAATTGAGGTGTCTGGGGTCCGGATTTTAAACTCGTCGCAGCGGGGTTTACAGCATCATCGGCAAGGAGAGGGGTAGGAGAAGGGGATGGGGATAGGTAGAGTGATTTTTTACCCACAGAATCGTCAGGGGTAAGAAAAGAGGGTGTGACGGGTTGAGGTGACGTCATGATCGGAGAGGGTTGCTGATTTGGGAGGTCTGTCGTTGGGGGTTGATCGGCAGACCTCCTTATCAGTTTTCCAACATCGCGTGCAGCTTTTTATTTTCGTCTTGCATTGCTGCAAATTTTTGAGAAAAGCAGTGCTCTTCAGTGTGGCCGAATTGGGCGCAGAAGGCGCAAAGCTGAAAGTTTTGGCTGCTCTGGACCTGGAGCAAATTTTGGAGACTTGTAACTTGTTGAGTTAAAGTGGAAAGTTGAGCCGAAAATTCATTCGTCTGAGTTTCTGATTTTTGTGACGAATTGTCATCCAGAGCTACTGAAGAGAGCTGCGCGTTGTGGGAGCAACGGGCTCGCTTTTTCTCGACGGGGTCAGGTTCCACCGGCTCGCACGGCTCGTCTTGAAAGTGAACCTTTTTCTTGTTGGGATTTCCGAATGTGCCATTGGCCAATTGATTTAAGCCATGAATAGTTGTGGTACGGTCAAGCAATTCGGTAATTGTTTTCGGGAGTGGAGCGCCAAGTTGGCGGAGGAGACTTGGTTGCAAATTATGAATTATTCGCAGGACCAAGGCAGATTCGGGGAAATTCGGGTCAATTTTCTGAGCGTAGCGGACCATGTCATGGATGTAAAATTCCGGGCGTTCGTTTGGCTGATGTTTGCGGTTCGACAGGTAGTGCTCTGCGTGCAATTTGGAAGTGAGTGAAAAACGCGCAATGAAATCGGCGTAAATTTCGTCTAATGTTTTGTTTGCATTGGCAGGGTTGGCCAAATGGAAATCGGCCCAATCGCCAGCATCGTCACGAAGTGTGAACAGGAAATACGCAAGAGCTTTACGGTCGGACCACTCAGCTATGTTTCGGCATTTTTTGAACATACTGACATGACCGCGAGCATTTTCATGTGGAGTGCCATGGAAATTATCGGGGAGCAGGGGTATCGTTGTCTTATTCGGTGGCATTGTGCAGCAGAAAAACCGTTGCAAGTACGGCTCACATTGCGCATGCAAACAGGGGCGTCAAATGACCGACGCTTGGGCGTCTGGCTGATGGGCTAAATGGGACTATTCGGCGTGGAGGCGGATGATGGGGTTTCACGCTCGTCGCGGGGTGAACGGATAAAATGCATCCGATCAGCGGGGTTGTGGGGGATAAAAAAATCTACAGCATGGGTCACGGAGGATGAAGATAACTACATCATAGGTCGGGGGGCTGTTAGTTGGGCGCCATTTGTCGGGAAATAATTGTTCCCTGATGCTAAGATTAATTATTTAATTCATAATCATTTTGGTTGGGGTAAATAGAATTAATAGACACAATTAAAAAAAAAGTATAAGAACTCTAGGTTATTCAGGGTCATTCATGGTAATCTTGATTTTTTTTCTTCTTCTAATTTCAAACATATAAAGGAAGTGAAAAATTTTAGTCTGGTCAAACTTTGGGACCAAAATTTATGAGAAAATAATATGAGAAATAATAAAAATTAGTTTTTGTTCATAAGTCCCTTATGATGACTATCATGATGTGTAATAACACAACATAATCTATTCAGATATAAACAAAAGGCCATTAAAATTTATTTTAATTAATTTTGCATAGAAAAGAAATTCTTTTATCAATCAAACGTTTGGCCGATGTATTTTGTTTATGCTAATTTTACTCAGATAAATCCAGAATTGACGATAGATTTTGTCAATTTTCTATACATTAGCAGACAAGAAATAAAACTTAAAAAGTTATTACATTTTTAAAAAGAGGAGACCAAAAAACCCGTGCTATTTAAAAAAAAAATCGTAAATTGCTCTAGATTATTCCAAACAATGTAATTTTTTAAATCAATATTGCTCCAACCTTTTTCCAAATATAATTTATTGCCACTCTCACGTTTCAGGGATTTTTTTTTTAAATTCCTTTTTAAAAAATATTAGTAAAATCGAAATTTTTCTATTAAAATATTCATGAGAGGTATAATTGAAGGATTACAGAACCAATTTATGATTATTATTCTGGCACGCTTTGCTTCGCTACGGTCTAAAAATGCATATCCTGCTTTTGATCCCTGTTCCAGGAATCGTCTAATGCCGTGGAGTGAAAAGGGAGATAAATTAAGATGCGACATCCGTCTCACTCTTCTCGTTATTGTGGCCGCGACTAAGACTAACACGAAGTTGACAGGCGCGACTCCTCATAAATAATAAAATAAATAAGCGACTTCTTCTTGTATTAATAATTTGAAATGCATTTTTGTTGCTTGGTCATCGCGGATGACAGTGTGTTGTGTCTCCGTGTCAGCGCGCTTGACCTGCGACCTCGAATGGCAAACAAGAGCGAAGGCGGAAAGTGAGGCACTGGACCAGCGAGCAAAGATCCTCGTGTTGCGCAACACCCTGCCTGCCGAGATGTAGGTGAGAGAGAGAAACAAGAGGGCGCCTTTCGTTATTTCTTAAACGTATATCCAGGGCACAAATTGCATCCGATACAATATTTTACTCTCTCGCGAAGAGAAAAGAGCAGATGCACTTTTGGGACGAAAAAGTGGTGCAACGATTTGGAGA